CATAGTTGGAAAAGAATGGTGTTTATTGAGTCGATGCATGAAGGGTGTTGTTATATGCAAACTTGGCTAACGATAGATATGCAGTCCAATCATCTTGCTGATAGTTGATACTGTATCATAAATATTACTCCAAAGTTTGATTCACTCATTCCATTTGGCCGTCAATTTGAGGATGGAAAGCCGAAGAAAGCTTGATATCCACCTTCAATATCTCAAAGAGAGATCTCTAGAACTTTGATAAGAATTGGGTTCTTCAATTCGACATGATATCATTTGGTAAATCATGATATCGATACACAATATCAAGGAAGAGTCTTGTTGTGTCTTTGCTTCACGATATTTTCTTGCAAAGAACAAAATGTGCCATCTTTGTAAGCCAATCTACCACAACAAAGATGCTGTCAAATAAATTTGATGGCGGTAGGTCCGTAATGAAGTCCATAGAAACTAAAGACCATGGTCGACGTGGAATAGGCAATGGCTGAAAAAGACCATAAGGACGATGCCGAGGATTCTTGGATCTTGAACAAATGTCACAGAAGAGGACAAAATCCTTGATATCCTTCCACATTTGGGGCCACCAAAAATCTCAAGAAATAAGTTCGAAGGTCTTATTGAATCCAAAATATCCCGTAGTTGAAAAGTCATGTCGAGATTGGAGAACTTAGAGTCGTGCTCGTCCCTTTGGAATATACAACTGCTCTTCAAAGTATCAAAGATCTCCTTCTACCTTGAACTTGTCATTATTGACACGTTACATGATATCAAGGACTATAAAATCTCTAATAGTCACAGTCCGTAATTGGTTGAAGAAGTCAACAACAATTGGCACTATAGCAGAGCAAAGCCTGAATTGTTTCAACTTCAACAATGTTGTACACTGTTCATCAAACGCTGCTTTTCCAACCTTTGGCGCTAGATACGATCTCCTTGATAATACATCAAATAGTCCTTATTGCTTCCCAAGCTGATAAGTAATAACAAAGTCAAACCTGGATAGCAACATATTCCATCGAGCTTGATCACAATTCAGAAGTCAAGCAGACATGAAGTACTCTAAATTCTTGTGATCCACATATACGGTCACTTGATGCACAATTCCTTCGAGAAAGTGATGCCACTCTTGGAAAGAATCCACTATCGCAAGAAGTTCTTTATCATGGATCTTATAGTTGATCTCGGTAGTAGAAAAATTTTGAGAGTAGAATGCAACCAAATGAAGCTTCTCGTCTGTGCCTATCTACAAAAGTACAGCTCCCATAGCAAAATCTGAAGCATCGATCTCCAAATAGAAGGCCTTTGTAAAGTCCAGATGTACCAAGATTGGAATCATAGTAAATGTTGTCTTAAGAACTTGAAATACTTTTTTCGCTAGAGGTTCCCATTCGAGCTTGTCTTTACATGTCAATCAAGTGAGCAAAGCAGCAACTTGAGAATAATTCTTGATGAAGATCCGATAGAAGTTAGCAAAGCCAAGAAAGCATTGTACATCTCTAATCATCTTTGGAACTTTCCATGATACAATTACTTCCACCTTCTTAGGGTCCATCTTCAAACCTTCTATAGTTGCAATGAATCCCAAAAATTCCATCTCAGTTTGGTTAAACAACCATTTCTCTAATTTGGCATAAAGTCCTGGCTCGCGGAGTTTTTCAAAGACTAGACAAATATATTTTTTATGCTCTTCTATGTTTTTGGAAAATATCAGAATATCATTTAGATAGATGACAAAAAAAATCATCAAGGTGCTCCCGAAAGATGTCATTCATCATGTGTTGAAAGACCACTAGAGCATTGGTAAGACCAAAAAGCATGAAATTATATTCAAAATGGGCATACCTTGTATGTAAAGCTGTCTTCCATTTGTCTCCTTCCTTGATTTGCATGAGGTTGTAAGCTCGCCTTAAATCAATCTTTGTAAAGATCCTTGCATGCCTAAGTTACTTTAGAAGACTTGATATCAAAGATAATGGATAACAATTCTTCTTTGTCACCTTGTTGAGACCTTGATAATCTACGCACATCTGTAGCGAGCCATCTTTCTTCTTCACAAATAAAATTGGTACCCCAGTTGGAGATTTCGAATGATGAATGAAATTCTTAGCTAGATTCTTGTTAATATACTTTTGTAACTCTGCTAACTCTGTCTGCGACAAATTGTAGATTAGGCCAAAAGGTGGTTGTGCTCCTTCCTGCAAGTTAATGGCACAATCATATGGTCGATGCTCTAGTAGCATGTCGGCATTCTTCTTTTGAAACACGTCTTCAAAATCCTTATATTGCTCCAATATACTTGCTGTCGAAATCTTCTCTCTACTAATTGGAGTCGCATAAATGACAAACAATGTGCCTTCATTAGACGATGTTATAAACGCTTTTGCTCCAATAAATAAGGATTTTTTGATTTGGGATCTTTTAATATGTTTACTCTCAGAATGTTCTATAGGAAATATCATCTTTTGTAACCTCCAATCTATGGATGGGTTATGTATTTCTAACCAAAAAAGACCAAGAATAATAGGGTTTGACTAGGTTCTAATAATATTGAAAATAATATAACTACTATGGTCTTTAAACGTCACCTCTATATGTTCTGATTCATGGATGACACTACCAAACAATAAAGGTTGTCCATCTATTACTTCTACGTGAACGGGTTTAGATTTTTGTACTAGAGGAATCTCATGACGCTTAGCAAATTCTTCGTCTAAAAAGCAAGCAGATGCTCTTGAATCTAATAACGCTAAGGTTTTTAATTTTTGACGGCCAAAAGGTAGAAGAATGGTAAAACAATGGGCAGGCTGAGCGAAAAGAGAGGAACTTGATTATTGATGTGGTATTGAATTGTCCAACTGCATGGTCCCTATTATGGCTAGGCATCCTCGTTTTTCTAAATAAATATGCCTCTAGTCCTGATAATGCGTCGATTTTGCTTCTTAGGGCAGTTTCCAGCTCTGTGGCCTTCTTCACCACAATACAAGCATAGTCCTTCCTCCATACGCTACTTTTTTCTTCTAGAATTAGGAATTTGACACATATCACATCAATTTGCATGTCTTCCATCTCTAAATGTGAATTCAAACTGCTTTTTGATATAATTGGAGCATGGTGCAGCGTATGTTGTCTTAAACGTTGATCTTAGTGACGTTGGAATATGCGGTTATCGCACTTCACAGCTTGACTAATGGCTTTGTTGAGCGTTTTTAGATCGAAAAGAGAGAAATCTTTCACGTTGTCCCTCAAGCCCCAATAAAATTGACTCATCAATGCTTCCTCGTCCCAATTGATGTCGCATGCTAATTATCTGAAATCTGATGCGTAGACAGACACGAAACGTGTTCCTTGTCGTAGTGACCAAATCTTTGTTGTAGCCCATCACATCTTATCATATTTGCTAAATGCTTCCGCAATTACCTCCAAAAAAATTTTGAAGTTGTTCAAAATTGATAATCCTTTCTCAAATAAAGGAGCAAAGCATGATAGAGCTTGCCCCGTGAGCAAAGTTCGAACGAGTCCAACACGTGACTCTTCCATCGGATAGTGTTTGGACTGTAAAGCTATTATCAATCTAATTTGATTGACAAAACCTCGAAACTTGGAATGCGTACCATCAAACTTATCTGGAAGACTAATTCATGGCTCCTTTCGTTGTAAGACCAACAATCCTTATTGAACTAGAGGCAAAGTTGCTTCTCTTAGTGCTGAAGCTTGAGGTTGGTGAATCCTCAATTGTGCCATCTCGGATGTTCCATCATTATGAAGTCTTGCAATGATTCCTTCAATCTCTGCAATTCTCTGTGATAACGTAGCAAGAGCATTCATAATGGCATCCAACTTGGACTCCGAACTTTTAGTCATACTAATATCTTGACCTCCGACTATTCTAAGAGAAGGCCTTAAAATAATTCCTACATTCATACTTTAAGCCTTAATTGAAGTCTCATTTTTACTTTCAAAGTAATTGATGTCAAATAGTTGGTTGGATATTAGTATTAAAAAAATAAGTTGATAAGACCAAAGTTTTGTAGAATTATATAAATCTAGTATTTTTGAATTAACTTTTTTTATACTCTTTAGGAATTCAAAGAGCACAACAATTGAAGCATGACTTTTTTTTTGGAGATGGCTTTTTTGGAAAGAGCTTGCAAGGTTTGTAAGCTTTCAAGAAGAAGCTTACTTACTCAAAACCTAGTTATAAATATCCATGTTATAATCACTTGGCACATCTAGCCTCAAAAAGTGAGAATCCAAAATCAAAGAAGACAAGAAACAAGTAGTGAGGTTAAATTATGGTCTGTTTTTGGATTATGCTTGAAAAACTAGCAACCCCTTTTAAAGAACTCTTGAGCTCATAGTGGGGCATCTTGATGCCACATTGCACAAGCTCAGTAGTACTGCTACAATTTAGAGTGAAGTTTTAAGTATTGGTGATTTATTACATGGCATTTAACTCTATTAAGTAACAATGCCTTTGCCAATACTACAACAAACAATGAACAAGGCGTTGATAAAACATCTTTAATAAAACATTCAAGGACAGGTGCTTATGATCTTCTAATAATGTTTATAGTAACACATTGCACCTTGACAATCTATTTTCAAATTTGGAATTAATACAAGTACTACTGTTAGTAGATAATGATATACTTTTTGGTGATTCTGATGATGGGTGGATCAAATTAACGGCTGGTGGAGTCAATTTAACATTCTCCTAAATATAAATTAAAGAAAGAAATCATATTGAAAGCTGATATCAAAGGTGATCATGCATGTGCTTCACTTTAGTCGGACTTTTGAGATGTTTATTTATCATGTGGGGGTTCATCTTCCAATTTAGCTGTAGAATTCATCAATCAATGATTCGAGTACTTTACCATCTTTCACAAACAATTTATCTTGAATATGTTACCAATATATGTTGTCAGATGTGTCTTTGTGGCACCAGACACGGCTGGGAACAGGTATGCATGTCCCATCACACCAACAAGATGAGCTGTAAGTGTCAAATTGGCAGATCTTACACTCTGCACAGCAGCCTCACCATGCCCTTTTGTAAAACGCGTGGGTGCACCAAAATAAATCACTCAGGATAACGTACATATATGCAGTAGTAAGTTAAATGAACTTCAAAAACTACAAGGAGACAGCTCCACCAAATCTGAACAAGTAATCTGTCGCAAATGTTAAGTAAATACATCTAACATTTATTTAGCACAAATGACTTTGGAAGCAAGTGCGGCAATAACTCTTGGCTTATATTGAACAGCTAGCCAAAGGCTAAGCATTCGAACACTGTCAATAGCCAATATTTCAAGGTACCAGCATTTTGTGGGCAGTTTCAGATATTGGATTCAACTCTGTATTCTGGGTCTGTCCATTCCAGGTCCGCATGTGAAAGTGGAGTACTTCAAATGGATGTCGAAATGTCTGGAAACGTCCCCATGTTCACGTGTGCCATCTAAGAGTACAGTAGCTTCACACACAGACTTCTCGCGATTGGAAACTACGAATAGAGTGTCAGCAACGCTTCCTTAGATGCTCGTGTTGAGAAGTCACGGCTGCAACACATTTCTTGCCCTTGGTCAAAAATTAAATCAACTTCAGATGATCCAGATGGAAGAGGGCTTCCATACCGTACTAATGAAACAAGGCATCCATAATGTAAATACCTGGTCAACTTCAGGTGGTTGTGGCCAACTAGAGTAACTTATGTTGGTTGAACGGTGTCTCAAATTAACTGCAAGTATGAAGCAGATGAATCTTGAGGAACGACCACAGTGAGCTTTGAGCGAAAAACTCCATTTACGAAACATTCCACTGCCTTTTTTTTCACGACTCAGTTTCTATTTATAGAAAAAACTCGGTTCCGACCACAGCGAATTTCATTGATTCGACCAAGGTGTCGCAAAACCTGTTGAATTTCATGGTTAGAGAAGACGGTTATTACGTTTCGACATAAACAGAAGCAAATTCAAGGAACAGAGCAAAGTAATCAGTTTTTCGCTAAATAATTCATTGTAAATCATAACGGTACTCACAGTTAACACTGCTTTTCCGGTGTGATCCAATTTGAGGACTTCACCCTTCAAATCTGATTCCAAGAAAAAATGTTTCCCTTTGACATTTTCCGCAATTGCTATATCTCGGAGTTCCTGCGTTTATCAAGCATGTGTAAGAGCTCAACTTTAGCAAAAGTTCAATGAACAACTAGCACATCCTTCGAATTTGACAAATAATTTTGGGACAATGGGTCAAAAGATAGAAGTGCAGCTCCGAATTTCATTAGCGACCTGTAACAAAAGGAAAGGAAACCCGAAAGCCATGCACTGAGAATCACCCAAATCTAGGTACATAGATTTGGGTGACTTTATGTTAAAAAATAGAGAACAGGTGAAAATATTTCCAAATTGCGCGTATTAAAAATTAAAATTAAGAGCTTCTTACCAAAACTCTATTCCATCCTTCTTCGCCGAGCTGCAAAAATGAGGGTCGGGGTCAGAAGCAACACAAATACAACGTCATAAAGCAAAGTCGTTCTTCATAATTTACGTACTAATAAAAATACTTGGAAAATAAATTTCACAAATTTGCTGGTGGGTGGGGGGAGATTTCACATGCCTTTTGTCTAGGAGCAGTGAGAAGTTTAGCATTTCCAGTCGCAAATGTAGCCATTTCATCAATAGCAGTATTTAACTTCTCAAGTGTGAGACGACCTCTCATATAACTGAATCAGGAACAGCACGGTAAACGTTAGGACCCCTTCAATCACTAAATCACAGAACAAGCCTTCCCATTTCATCAAAGCATGAATGCATTCGCCACAATACAGAGATACTGCCCAAAGGCTGATTATTAAATTCAGCATCATTCAATCATTGTTAGAGACGGTGCTGGAGTACCTTGAAAGTGATGAAAGCTCATCCACACTCACGTACCATCGAGGGGGTGGTTCTTTGCCTCTCTTTTCCTGCATTCAACTCTTCAATCTTATGAGAAATCAGAGCAGAAGAGTCATGTTTCCACAAAGTTTGCAAGATAACAGTAGAAGTACATTTGACAGAGAAAAGACGCAGCCATACAGACTTCCTTCAAAGTTCTGCATTACTTGAAGCAGAGACATCATACTATACCAGAAGAATAATCAACAAAACTATCAGAAAAAATCTAATTTGAATACATCAGAAAATTCTAATTTGGAGAGATATCACACAAAAATATAGGAGCTCTTTACTTTTGGAGGAGCAGTCTTTGCAGGGACAGCTGTAGAATTATTGGCTTTCTGAGGATTCGACGTAGAGCTGAAGTGGTCACAACTACACTGTGAGAAGTATTTTCCAGAGAAAAAAGCAGGAACTATCACCTTTATTTAAAAATGTATGCCAAAGTACCACTAGTGCAAACCTTGTCACGCCCTCCTCAATTCTAAATAAACAAAGCTAAATTCAATCCTAAATACCAAGGATGAGGAAGACGGAACATAAGCTCTAAATATGGGAAGTGTTAAATTAGCATATTTTCTCAAGTCCATGTCACATATAATTTAATACCAAAGGATTTTTACATGAGGCTAGTTCATGCCTCACTAACACCGCCAGTGGAAGTGTAACTAACAGATGTATCCACTTGCATAATAACAGGGGCATATGTAAAAAGTTGAGAGAATAGACTAAGGATAAGAAACGAAGACAAACCTAGCGACAGCTGGCTCCACATGCATCTCGTTTCCAGGCAAGCGGGCTGGTAAATTGGAACAAATCTGTTGCAATTTTGCTGTTTGTTGCGAAGAAAGTTCAACTAACACCTGTCATTAAAATTCAGGTTCCAGAGTCAAGTCGGTAAAAGGTATAGTACTTAGTTCTGGTAACCGATGAATCCTGGTTTGATCATATTTTAAAAGACGGAAAGGCATACACAAAGCCCCGAAATATCTTTTGATGCTTGAAATAATTCTTTGATACAAATGTTTCAACACCAGGTTTTTGAGACAAACTTGGCACCTGCACTTTAGCCAACGACTCAGCCTCCCGCTTCATGAAGGCTTTGATGACTCGCAAGTGGTGCTCTGCTGTGCTCAGAGCTGTATCCAAAGACTTTAATTCTCCTACATGTGAACCTCCTGCTCTTGTAGCCACGATTCATGTTCAGTACTTCAAGAAAGTGTGCAATTCGGCCAGACAGGTAATTGCATGTCCTAACGTAAAGAAAATAATTGAGATTTGCAGATTAAATCAGGAATTCAAATCGAGGCTATCCAACATAATCCATACTACAAACATTTTGCACATTTAGAGATCACCGTAAACAAGTGAACACAGTGCACAAAAAACATTAGAGACCAGAGGTTACTACTCCTGAACCGTGCAGACATTCAGAAGGCGAGTAAATGAGATGAATAATCTCAAACCCTTCCAATACAACGGAGCAAAATGCCAAAAAGCAAGAGCACAAGAGGGATGAGAAATGCAACTCACCACTGCGCACGAGCGTGAGATTCCGAAGCAGATTGATTCGCTCATTGAAGGAAGCCATGAGGGCGTCCAAGTCCACCTTGGCTGTCCCTGTTGCAGACATCTCCATTCTCACAACCTAGAATCTGTCAAAACCTAAGTCAATGTTCCACTTGCGCAATCGCTCCAATAGGCAATCGACTCGATCGATTCAATCAAGCGTGCTCTAAATCTTCGGCACAATCTCCAGAGTGCTCATTCACTGCATCCACCTAACCACCCTCGTATACGATCGTGCAACAATTTCCTTGGAGAAGGATCGATAGTCAGTCAGCCACTGAGCTGATTGTTGTAACCCTAATTGTCCCAAACAAATTCCTCCCACGTCTTCAGTGATGATCGGCGAGTCCTCATGCGATGAAGCATTGGCGGAATGGACGGATCGTTCAAAGATAGATAGCAAAACAGAAGCGTCGTTGAAGGCAAAATCTAGAAGTGTCTTTCTCTGTTTGCCCCTCGATTCACTTTTACTTTATTAATTCAAAGTTTTAAGAAAGGGCGGGAGTGGGATTCACGGTCAGGTGCTCCTCCCACGATAATGAACGCCCTTCAGTCCGTCTTCATTTCGACACAACTATGTCATGCATCGTTGGTATTAGAATTGTTGTTTTTCTTGGAAAATATTAAATTGCGAGATTCTAAATATTATTTTAATTTTTTTTATCATTAAAAAAACTCTCCTCAGACCATAAATTTTTCAAACATAGAATTTGATTATTTGATCGTGGAATTATTAAGAAAATTCATTTACTTATGGAATTTTAATCATGGTTTTTGTAGTTTTCAGTCATAGATAAAAAAGATGTAATCCTTGGAAAATAGCTGATTTTTATTTTTCTAATTAATGAAATATAAATTTTATTATTTTATGCTCTAATTAAATTTAAAATAGATGTATAAATGTATGTATGTACATCTATTATGTAAAACAAATTAGAAATAAGTCAAAGAAGCCTTCTAATTGGCTATGAAGTAGGGAACATGGAGAATGCGAGAGCACTGAAACTTGAGAAATATGGAGAACACAGAATTTGACACATCTTATAAGTCATAAAAATATGTATGGTTTGAAATGAAACCATGTGTATGTTTGATTGAATCAATCAAGTTGCATGGTTTCACAATATATAGTTTCACACATTTTATAAGTTATAGAAAAAGAACCATACAATGTCTAATTTAAACCACATAAAAACAACAAATATACTAAAATAAACAAACTCTTCAAAATGTTATCAACAAGTCACAAGAAGAAGTGCTTCAAGAACCTAGTTGAAAGATCTGAATATATATATATATATATATATAAAAACAAAAAATTTATTTAGAATATTTGAGTCATTAATTGATAATAAAGCAATCCAAGACTAGCATGACAAACAACTTTAATATGACAGGAACAACATTCTGAAGGTTTGTTCAATGATTGTGAATGATTTTACACTTTTTACCTTTTAAATGTATACGTGTACAATGAAGTTCAAAATAGAAGTTTTTTTTTACTTTATTTATAGTAATATTTATGGTCTTGAATTTCATTTTCTGTCAGTTGATTGTTTAAATTTGATGCACACTGGTCAAGATTTGTTTTAAAAAATGTAAAATCTTCGATTTTTCAATTTTAGGCACAAACGAGTAAAAGAAGTTATTTCATTAATAGTATTTTATTTATATCTTTATTAAATATATTAAATATGAATTTGAGTAAATTTATACCTTTGACAACACTCAGTGTATCCCAATGTTTAAGTTTGACATTATTGTCAAACACATTAAAAAAAATCATATATGAATAATTTGGGACTTTTAAATTTTGATAGGGCAAAGAATGTGTGATGTTTATAAGATAGAGACGTGAAGTCTCAATCAGACCATAAATGCAACAAAAGCGTGAACAACATTAAGGCAGAGCCACTGATGGCGACATATTTTCACTCGGAAATAGCCAAACCCTTATCTCAGCAAAAAGGACAGGAAGCAACAAATCCCATCGGAGGACCCACCCTCCAACTATTAGTCCAAATCCCGACGTTGCGACCACATTCCGACGTCGACACAAGCACGAGAAACGAGAGGAATCCCACTCAAATCTTTCTTTCCACGTCATCCATACAGGACACACGCTGGAATTTCATCCACCACGTGGACTGTTCGTCGAGAATACACTCTGGTTTGTTCATCCAAATTCGTCTTCGCCGCATTTGTCTCCCGCAGCATCCTCTGTTGGCTGCATTGCGGGATCCTTTGCCACAGCTTTCCACCTCGTCACGCCATGCCACTCTCGATGCCGATCGCTTCCTGTCTGCTCCAAGCTCACCGCTGCCTGTAGTCGCAATGCTGACGCATCCGCCAGGTTCAGTTCGCCAACCCTGATTGAGACCGGTTTCTTCTTGTTAGCCTTCCCCCTGGCGATTTGCTTAGGGTTGTTTGCGCATCGAGCTTCTGCTGTCGTTTTCCCCTGTTCATTTCGGTGAATTGAACTTGTTGATTGATTGTATGTTGCCATTGTCGAATCGCTTGTTTCTCTTAACATCCTACTGGTTGTGGTCCCGATTAATGTTTTCCATCTGGTGCTTTACTTCCAATTCTATTTGCCTGCCTTGTCTGCTTGTTAGTTTTAAATATCATGTTTGGAAGATTTGAAAGTTGTAAACAGAGCGATTAGAATGTGGAGGAAGCTGGTTAGTCTGGGCTTTGATGGTTGGCTTGAACCGCGAGGTAGATTTTTATAAATTCTTTTTTTTTCTTCGAAGGTGATCGTTCCAGCACTAGTGGAAGTTCACTTGTTTTGTGCGTTTGGCGTGGAGGATGCTTCGCGGAGTAGTGTTTGGAATCATGCTGCAGGTCAGATTATACCAAATGACTGCCTGCTGGATTCGTTTATTCATCTTTGATTTGAAGGTGTCTTCGATTGGCTCTGCTACTATTTTGGCTGTATATAGCAGCTTTGTACCCTCTCAGCGGCCAGTTGGTCTCGTGTAGCGGTCTCTTGAGCACTCTTGATGCGCACAGTTAATTGTGGCATTTAAGCAGCTGTACATAACTCTTTCTGTGGCATTACTGCGTCTCAACCGGGAGTTTCGCATCGTGTTACACCTATCATAGTAGGTTGACGAGAAACTTTTTTGCTGAGGAGCTGCGAAGTTCAATTAATACTCTTTACTCATTTCAAGTGGTTTTACCTGTGCAATATCCGTTTCGGAGTTTGGTGCGAATAGAATTTTCCCTTGTGGATCCCCTGCAGTTCCTACTCGGGTAATTTGGAATTTTATGAGTCTTGATTGCGTTCAGACACGGCATAATTAATCTTTTAGTTGATATGCTTTGTTCTCTTATGTTTTGGAATCGGAAGTAGTTCATTATTAGGTGGACATTGGTAAGCTTGGTTGTGAATATTTAAGGCTTGAGGTTCATCTCAAATGACTTTTACGATTATTGGGGATTTTACGCATCTCCTAGAGCATATTGGCATTTTCCATTGCATTCAAAATTATATCTGGAGATAATTGCTGTACCTTGGGGTTTGGATTTTTTCATCATTAAATACATCCTTCATTTCAACTTGATCCTCTTGCTCTTGCTCTGCTCTTTCTTTGATTTCGTTCGTCACCTCTTATCTTCCATCGATTTACCATGGCTTCATGTCAATACATGACAGTAAGTTCTTGTCAGAATTGTGCTACCGATGTTGGGAAATAGATATGATTGTCATCGGAACATGAGAAAAATTGCTTATAGCACCAAGTAGCTAAAAGCTTCGTTTTTGTTCACCTTTTTATTGAACCTGAATATCTTTCTTCAATTGATGTATTTCCAGAACTGAGATGTTACTATTTGCATATGCCTTTGACTAAACAGATGAGAAATAACAAAGTTAAATAAATTCAGTATTATTCAATGAGGTACGATCTTGTAAATTGTAAATAATGGATTAACAGTCAGATCGAATATTGAGCTTAAGTATGTTGATCTTGAATTATGTGTATGTTTATAGTTGTTCTTTTGACCTTGTATTGAAAGTCGTGAAGTCAACCATTCTAAAACCCTATACCCTGGTTATTTAGATTGTGTCAAAGCATTATGTACCCAGTTTTGACTCTTTCATACTTTACATCCCCTTCGGTAGGAAGTTTTTTGATTGTGCTGTATAATTTGCAAGTATCTTCGCGGCTGTATTCACACAAATGGTGTAGGAAGACGTTAAATTAATGTGATTGTTGACGATTTTGTAGGTGAATTTTGCAAGAGGGCAGCGGTAGCAAATTGGTGAATCATCACAGGAAATTGAACTTCAAAGGAGACAAGTAATTGTTGGTTTATACTGGGGGTAGAGGGGGATCCTCTTTATGTGGTGAAAAGCTTGTTCTTAATCCATGTGCCTCAGTTTAGAAGGCACAAACGACGTTGCAAAATGAATTCTGAGCAGCGAAGGAAAGAGAGACAGGGTGCAGGGGCTCTGGGGCAACCACCAGAGATTGAGCTGAATGAGACTTTCAACCCATTTCGCAATGATAACCATTTTGATGGAGCATACGAGATACTTAAAATTATACTCTTGCTACCCGTAATGGTGGTGCGACTCTTAGTTTTTGTGACTTCACTTCTTTTAGGATACTTGCTTACCAAACTAGCTCTGTTCAGAGCTACGAATGTGTTGACAAGTCCATTTCCTCAATGGCGTCGTTCATTGATGCTACCAGTTCGTCTCTGTGCCCGGGTGAACCTTTTTGCCTGTGGCTTTCATTGGATTCATTTGAAAGGTAGGCCTGCTCCACGTCATGAGGCTCCCATTCTAGTGAGTAATCATGTGACGTTTGCGGATCCATTGTTCCTTTTCTTCAAGCATCTGCCAGTAATAGTCACAGCTTATGAGAACCTCAACTTGCCAATAGCTGGTGCTATCATTAAGGCGATGCAAGCAATTGCTGTTGATCGAATCTCAAGAACATCCCGTCAAAATGCATCTGATGCAATCAAGCGGAAAGCTATGTGCAATGACTGGAGTCATGTAATGATATTTCCTGAGGCTACCACGACGAATGGCAAACTTCTCATTTCCTTCAAAGCAGGGGCCTTTACACCCGGCTTCCCTGTTCAACCAATCCTTATTCGATATTCATATGTGCACATGGACCCATGTTGGGTTGCAGAGGGACCGGTCATTTATTGGCTTCTCTTCCGCTTAATGACCCAGTTTCATAACTTCATGTCGGTATGTCCTCCAAACCTATTGATGCTATTTCTTTTTATTCATTATAACTCCTTCAATCATCATAACCGTGTACGCTTTCGTGTAGTCGACTGGAATTGGTGGTGCCAAATGTCCTGTGTCGTACGGAGCAAAATGTGATTTTCTTGCTGGTTCATCCTGTATCCGCACATATTATTATCGTAAATACAGAGAATTGTTATTCTTTTGAAGATTCTTGAAAGACGCATATACTTATTCGCATACGTCAAGAGTAGTCATTGGGTTTGTCAAGGAACATAGTGAATCATTATTGTTATGGCCCTCCATTGAACTGAATTGTTTGTCTTTTTTTGTTATGTTTGGAATGTATCAACACTTAATCAGATGAAGATGAATCGGTTGAATATCTACAGGTTGAATATCTCCCTATTATCTATCCGAATTTGGCAGAAACAAAAAATCCGCAGATGTTTGCAGAACGGGTGCGCCTCACAATGGCACGAGCCATGAACACATCTGTGACTCAGCATACATTTGAGGATGCCACTCTGGCCATGGAAGCAGTGAGACTGAACATCGATAGTGGGTCTGCTCTTCTTGAATTTGGGGAATTCAACAAGATCTCTCCATTCAGAGTCAAGGACGCTAAGCGATGCTTATCTAAATTTCTAACCATGGATTCCTCAAAAAGGTTGGTTAATGTATTAGATGGAGGCACCTTATAGATTAGATTACATAGCTGCAAATTTGATAGCCTTCAATTGGCGCGCCCACATGTGCTCCAACATTCAATTGCAAGCTTAATCATATCGGTTTTGACTTGCTTAAGAACTGGATATTTGGGTTGTGATGTCTGACAGGGCTGGTATTGAAATTATTGCAGGGGTTCTCTCACTTTCGAGGACTATATTAAAGCGGTAAATTTGCCTAATTGTTCCCTGCTACAGCAGGTGTACCGATACTTTGATCGTACCAACAGTGGTTGCATCAGTTTTCGGCAGGTACTTTATCTTTCCAGATCTTACCAGGTTATTGTATCCTCAATTACTACAGCAGGAATTCTTATTCTTCAAAGATTAGTGAACTAATCTTTCATACTGCTTTTATGTTGTTTTCAGTTCACAACTCCTTTAAATTCCTAGCTTACCTTGTTTGCATGTCTGGAATTGCTGGGCAGTATGCTGTAGGGATAGCTTATGTAAGCAGTCATTTAAGATTCAAAGAAGCTGTAGTTGCAGCATACAACTTTTGTGGTGGTGAAGAAAATGATCTACCAGATGAACCGACGTTGCTGAGAAGCTTACGTGTACTCATCCCATCAGTTTCAAAGCAACAGGTCAAAATGATTGTATTTTGGGCTGTTCCAGCATTGTGTGCACAACTGACTAACCATGAGGAGGTAGATGTAGAGGTCTACGAGTTTACATGTATTGATGGTACTCAGGTGTTGGCCTCAACTGATAATTGTTCTTTGTACGGCAGGTTCACTTGCTTTTTGACAGACTTGATGTAAAGAAGGGAGGAATACTTCGACTGGCTGACTTTGCCAGCTATTGTGACGAGAATCCTGATTTCCTACTAATATTTTTGATTGGGAAGTCAAGTCTACTTTGACTCAAGATTTCACATAATAGGCAATGTTGCAGCATTCTCAGCGCGCAGAGGCGGGCAAAAAGCTTGAATGAGTGTTGTCTGATTGGTCTTTTCCCTGCACTATTATTTGGAGGTCGTGTTGGGTTCTTGTTGTAGTAGGCTGAGACGATCAGTGAAATAGAAGTAATTGATTCTGATACTGCTCGAGTTGAAGTGGCAGGCAGTGGTCCTCAACTGCGAATTCAGAGGATGGACATAATATATAGAGTCACGTATATCAATACCTTAAATTGGGCAAGTCCAGCTGCACATTGTGCGACAGAGGTCTATTCTTTTTGTAGAGTATTGTATAAGTTATAGCAACTCTAGGCCCAGTGATTTGCAAAAGCATAGTTGTTCACTCTGTTTGTAATTTTAAATTTTACATGCAAATTTTATACTTTCTCTACTTTATTCGACTTTCCTTGATCGCAATGTCTGCATTGCTCAATAAGAAGTCGAAACTCAAAATCGCTCATCCGTTTTGGCTTCCTGCATCAGAATTGATATGGAGCACTCCCGTTAAGTATGCCTGTTGTGAAGTGGAACTGTCTGACGAAAACATAGAAAAACAGAAATAACAGAACATGAATGATGATCTGGAATAAGATCTGTGGTTTTCTTTTACCGCGATGAAGAACATGCACACCAGCAGGCACACCCTGGACCTGAAAAACCAATCCTCTTTCCACCGACTTTGCAAGCTCTCGATGCTAATGAACCTTACCTAAATGGGCGAACTCCTTCGCTTGATATGACTAATTTGGTATGAAATCTTTGCACAAGTGACGGAAAATCCATGGGAATTCTCCTCTGGTTATCTTTTAGGGAAAATTTCATATTTGTATATCCTTAAAATAACCTAAAATATACAGAATACCCCTATATTCCTGATATTTCAGGATACTTGAGGGGTTGTATGAAAATTTCCCTATCTTTTATCTCGTGAGATCCTTCGGTGGAGTCTTCATATTTATCTACATTACCTACAAAACTAAGCGGCAAAAGATAATTACAATAGAAAACCACCTCAACCATCAACTTCTTTCCTGCAGCTGACATTTTTTATTTTATTTTATTTTATTTTTTTATTTTAAATTTGAAACAACTTTAGTGATCCTTGTTCATTAAGACGGCTTCACATTCTTCTTCATTTCTCCAAACATGTAATCTTTTCTTATTTCATAAAAGGTGGTTTCTCCAACCACCTTGTAGTAAATCTTTTTAATTTTTTCTTTTTTAATTGCACAGATGTTTAATTATATTTTATTTTTTTCAACTTTTTCATTAATTTTGAAACTAAAATACAAAGTGCAAGTGTTTTTTTTGTTCGTTTTTGTTTGTTTGTTTGTTTGTTTGTTTTCCTTACATGATCATAGTTTGAAAAATATTGTAAAATAATGTTTTTCTTTTGCCTTTTTTTATAAATTGCAAACTATAAGTCATTGTAAATATTAAATAGAAATTTTCTACTTACAATCTCATCTTAATTATTCTTTAATCAAATAAGGTAATAAATAATAATAATAATTTTTAATAGATTTCAAGGATTATCAGCCATAATTTTTATAACAATAATCTCTATAGATTTAAATATAAGTACAAAATTTAGTTATTGCTTAATTTTAAAATATATGGTAATACATTATTAAATGGTAATAAACTATATTTAAGTATTCTTTAGTCTTATCAATAATTTTTTTATTATAATTTATTACCACATTTGATCATTTTTTTTAATTGGTGTATTATCTAAATATATTAGTAAAATTTTAATTCTTTTTTTTTAAAAATATTTTTTATTTTATTAAATAATAACTATTTGAAAATAAATACTAAAATTTTCTATAATACTTAATTATTTATTAAAACCCTATGTTGTATAAACAAACATTGTTACACATAACATATTGAGTGCTACCAATCAATCATAAAGTATGTAATTTAAACTAAATACAAATGTACATCCAATATATTTTGAGGAAAGATTAGAAATCTACACAAAACTAAGTCAAGCTATTTCTTATACCACAAAAGGGGAATCCAAGAGTGCAAGTGTGAAAATAAGAAAAATCCTAAAGCTTTAGTAAAATGGCTAAAATACCATAGCCAAGCAAACCTTTACAACAAGCCCGCTCACTCTCAAGATCATTCACAAGACTTGACTTGACAAGAATATCAAGTCAAGGGTTACTTTCTACCTAAGCACTCAAATCCTAATTGACATAAATAAATCAATTAATGAAAAAACTATCAATGGATGAAAAACCACTTACTAAACTAAATTATATATATCCAATGGAATTTGGTATCCAATACTATATCATGTAGCAGCTATTGTGTAAACAAATATTGTTACATACAACATATTGAGTGCTACTAATCAATCATAAAATATGTAATTTAAACCAAATACAAATGCACATCCAATACACTTTCACAAAAATTTTTTAGTTGATTAAGAGCCCTTCCAATCAATTAGGACTACAAAATACACATTAATGAAGATAAACACTACCATGATGTGAATGCCAAATTATACTCCTCTAAGCTTAGTGTTATAGCAGTTAGACCACCGAAGTGTGTGAAACAGACATAATAGAAGAAATCTTCAATTTTTCATCGACATATATTTATCATAATTATTACTTAGGTAATATGAATAAATAGAAGTAGATAAAAGTAGATTAGTTTCATAATATCTTTTAAAAAAGCTTCCTAGAAGCTTTATAGACATTGCTTTGTCTTTACATGTATTTGTAGTTGATTGGTGGATTAGAAACTTAGTCAAAAAATTAACTACATGGAACATGTGTTGGTAGTTTGTGAAATAAGTTAACTATGTGATGTCCATATAGAAAACTTGCCTTGCAAGTTAAGTTATGTATTGTATAAAGTCAATATATTTTAAAAGTCCTATAGAACATCACCATATAGCTCCTAAATAGATAGTATATATATAAGTAAGAGATTAGTATTTTTTACTTTTATTAAATCTTTTCTTGATTCTAATTTAGTTTCAAGAATTTCTAATTTTCTTGTCTTTTTGCAGTAGTCATTCCAGTTTCTTTTTAATATATATACTTCTTTATTTCTATATTATCATACTTCTTTAAAAAAGTTTTACTTACTTATTTGATTTCATCAAGTTTTTATTTTTGACAGATTGACAAGAGTATACTTACAATATTAGAGCTTTATCTTTTCTTCATTAAGAATGGATTATGTTTTTTATTCTTGATAAGACATGAGCGTATTAGAAGTTATAGATTACCTTCTTCTAAATTGATATTGTTTTTAATATTTTTTTAATTTTCAAGTCATTTCTTTTACTTGTCTTAAGAAATATTAGATATTTTTATTTATTTATTTATTTATTTTTTAAGTATTATTATGGTAGATCTTATCAAAATAAAGAATATAATGGCAAGAATATAAGAAAAATTTAAAAAATTAATACTTAAAATACATCAACTCAATTTACTACCATAAGGAAAAATAAGAATGGTAAAAAGTAGAGATATATAAATAATTGGAGATGCTTTAATATCTATACCAAATCATATTCCTTCTTCTATGGTTGAACGCCATTGAAGTATTTGAAAATCAAAAATTTCCTTACTTGAGAAGTTTGATGGTAAAAGATCAAAGTTTTAAGGATTCATCAATCAAGTACAACTAGCAATTGAACTTCAATTCCAAAGCTATTTAATTCTAAAATCATAAGTCAAGTTTATTGAAATACTACTTTTTGATTTTGCATTGACGTATTATAGTTACTTGTAGTATGTAAAAGATTAATTAAAACATATATTATTTGTAAGTCTTGATGTAAATTAAAGTGGTTAATAAGTAAATTTAAAGAAAGTTGATATAAGAAAATTTATTTGGAAGTTTATTTATTTTGATTATAGTGTTTATATTATGTAGGATTTAGATATTTAGTATAAAGCTTAAAATAAAGTTAGAATCTAAAGATGAAAGTGTAAACTATTAGGAGGCTTATTGGAAAGGATGAAAGCAAGGTATGGTTGGATGAAAGCAAGGGGTGAAGATCTTCATCACTATTGGTCGAATGTCATGTCCAATTGGCTTCAAAGAGGCTGCCCGAAGCCTTATTTGGGATTAGGATTTTTTTTCGAAGTCATTTGAGATTTAGAGGCTAAATTCAATAAGTTTAGGTTTTTGGATATACTTTGGGTGAAAATTATGTGTGATTTGGAGTTTTTATGAAGGAGTTATAGATGCTCAAAGTTAAAGTGTCAATTTTGTACCTATTGTCATCCTTTGGGGCATCACATATGCTTACAAAAAGCAGAAAAGGATCAACAATTAGAGTTGGAGAGAGAACTTTTTTGGCTAAACTTTTCATATATTTTTTGATGAATTCTAAGTTTGGTTGAAGGAATTATAAGGCATTGAAGACAACACATGTAATTCAAAGATAGTAATAGAGTTGTTTTGTTGATAGTAATGATTGGAGTCATATCTTGAGTTTTTGGACGAATTATTGTCTCAAAATTTCTATAAGTGTGTGTTATTAAATTAAAAAGCTTTAAATCAAAGTTTCATGGTATTTGAGTACTTATTTTATGAGATATGAAGAAAATTGCATACAAGTATATGTAAGTAAGGATTTGAAGCTATTATTAGGATTTTAGTGATATCTCAAGATTTGTATCGAATTTGTAGTTGAAATTTGTTTGAATAGTTGTTGAAAGTATATCAATACTTCATGTAAAATTTTAGTTTGTTTGGACAGTTAGATCATGAGATATGAATTGTTGAAGTTTGGAAAAAATTTCCCTTAAGGATATATAAGATTTTAAAACATTTTATCATATATTTGGATATTTTTTTTTGTTGTATTTAGGCTTATGTTTTGATTTAATTTCCCTAAAAGAGAAAATATTATATATATAAACTTGGAACTTTAATATCTTAGACTTGATTGAGCATTTAATAGCAACCAGAAGCCTAGTGCTTTCTTGAGGCAAACTCTCTCTATTCTGAAAATATTATCATAGTTTTTATCTTTTTTTAAATAATTTGATTCAATATTGGATAATTTAAAAAAATCTAGGTGGATTTTTTATCTATATATAGAGAATATAATGTAGTTTGTATTGCAACAAAGAAGATCTATATTTTATGACAATAAAATCAATCTATAACATTGTATTCTTCACAATTTTGACAACTTGTAATTGATATCAAGTAAGATGATGTTGTATTTATTAGCTAATTTTTTTATGGATTACAATATGAGATAAAAAAATTGATGCTTAATTTATTTGATCTTTAAACATTGAATTAAACAATTGATTTTGCTATGAAGTATGATAATCAATTTTTTGAATTTTGGTATGAAAATCACATAAGTAGGCTTCAATATTATTACAAGCCAATATCAACACAA